GGGGCTCATGCCACCTAACGTCTATGTCAAGATGAGACCCAGAGAGCATCCTAAGCTACCTAGATCATTACTATCATAATCACATTGTTCATGCAATTCAAACAACATGGAAACATGTTATACAAGGCAACAAGATATAGATTCTCAAAGTCTTTAACTTGAAATCCAAAATACGAAAACAACAAGTGTAGGTCATGCCACCTGACGTCTACGTTCAAAATGAATCTATAAGGTCATTCCTAAACTACATTTGAACATCAAAACACAAATTATGATATCGATGTAATTTAACCAACAATGGAACTTCCAATACAACGCATGAAGCATGTTTTCACAAAGCTACATTTTAAGCTCAAAATAGGAAATCAAATAAGGAACAACAAGTTACGATATCATCTAGTTATCAACTTGAAATGAAATACGAAATCAAACAAAGTGGATACTCGGACGTCACGCCGAATCAGACCGACAATATAGTTACTAGCACATGGGTAACCTCCCTATGTGCGCACTAGACTATATAGAGGGACAATCCCCCGTACTAGAACCAAGTCCTAGCCGTAGCCAAACAACGACATCACCAAGTTTCCAAAATCAACAAATTGTGCAATAACGTATCTATATCAACATGTATATACAAGATATCAACTATTTACCAAGCACAATCCAAATTTTGGAAACTTATACAATATATGCTCAAAATTCACAACTACTATGGCATGTAAGATGTCAAATACAAAGTGTGCAATTCCTTACACATAGCAACAATATATTCAATAAGAAAAAACATATTCTGATGAATATAAAAGTAATAACTATGTTATCCAATGCTTAAAAGTAATCAAGTGAACATACATCAAATCCAAATCCATGATTTAAATATAGAAACAACTTTCAAAATAAAATTAAATCCATGGAGTAATAAAGTAGAATTTAATTAAACATAAATAGTTAAATTCTCTAAATTCCAAATTAATCCAAATAACCTCAATTTAATATATATTGAAAGATATGTCATGGTCATCATATATATAACATCAAATGACAAGTTAAGTGATTAAAACACTTAAAACAAAATTAATCAAGCTAATTAATTAATTTCCTCTAGATTTTTAAACAATTCCAAATGCCCTCAATTTAATCTATGTTAGAGAACATGCCAATGCCTATTTAAATACCACATTACAACTTGATTTAATGCTTGATACAACCATGTGAATTAAACTTTCACTAAAGACAAATATTAAATAAAAGTTGTAATTCTTAATCAAATGATCCAAATTTAATATATGTTAACCAACATATCTAAGCATAATTTCCTAGCATGTTACAATTTAAATCAAAGTTATACATCATCATAAATTTTAAATCTTATACAAAGAAATAAAAATTACTAACTTTCTAGATTTGATACAATGCATACATATATGTTGTATAATCATGGTAAACACACAATACAACACACAAATAATCCTAAAACATTCCCTACCTCAATTGGAATGAAAATCCCAATTACCACCGAAATGAAATCGCCCCAAATTTTCAGTCCGCAAAACAGATTTTTCAGCTTACTACCTTCAACTTGTAAAATTCATAAAAAATTCAATTCTAACCCAAATTGAATGAATTCAAAGCCCAATGAAAGCTTAAACACTGTAATTTGATAATATCAATTTAGTTTAACAAAATATTTTTTCAATTGAAACAGTTTTGCCCCACAACTTTGAAACAATTTCTGCCCAGAAAACACATTTTCAGCCTGTAGCTTCCAACTTTGAAAATTCATGAAAAATTCATTTGACATCCAAATTGGACAAACCTAATTTATTTTGGAAGTAAACATATGAGAGTATAAAACTAAAAATTTAAGCCATGATCCAATGTAAAAAGGTTAGTGAAATAAATCATCTAAAAATATGTTTTCCAGCTGCAATAAAAACATGGACAGTAGATTGTTTCAGATTTAAAAAAAAAAATTAGAAATGCTCTAAAATCGTAAAAAAAATTCTGAATATTGTAAAACCTATGGGGGAAGTTCCAGTAAAAATTTCAAGACAATTGAAGCACCATAGCTCCATATAAAAAATTCATTTCCAGACTAAAAAGGAAAAACTTCAAATTTCCAACAACTAGCTTGCAACTTCAAAAATTCATAACTAATTCATTTTAAATCCAAATTATATGAAACCAAAACTAAATGAAAGCTAATTGAGTATATTTTCATATTCTATATTTAATTTGACAAGATTAATTTCAAGTTAAAACATTTTAAGGAAAAAATATAAGTCATTCTCTTTCATGCATGTAAAACATTCAATAATGACATAAAAATACTTCAAAATAATAGATCAATACCTCACTAGAGAATTGAATCTCTAGATACCAAAGCAAAACTAGGAGTTAGGCTAGATCCTTCAAAGGTTTTGAGGAGGAGGATGAGGGGAACAAAAAATATTCCAAGTTCAAAGTTCTAAGGTGAGTAAAAGGGCACCAAAAATGAAGTCAAAGCTACTAGTCAAGCTTTTCTCCAATGGTGGCTTCCTTAGGGTTTTTGAGAGGAAAGTGATGAATGAATTAAAATATGTAAACCCTAAGCTAAATTGGTGGGCTTCTCCACTCACTAGGTGCTCTTGCACTACCTCACACACACACACACTAATGCAAGACTAAAGATGAGTCTTACACTTGTCATGAATCCAAGTAAGCTTTCAAGATTAAATATTAATCCTACACTTGTCAACCATCCATGCCAACAAGTGCACCAATTCTAGGACAATAAGTGGGTGAATCCTCACCCTCCAAATGTCATCATTCAATGCATTAAAGTGTTTCCACACAAATGTCAACAAGTGGACCAATGAGAGTGTGACACTTGTTACACTTTTCAAAAATTGCAAAAAGGTCCTTTTTGAAAATATCTTCCATATTTAATTGCAAAATGGTCCCTAAGACGAAAATTAATTACTTTACTTAATTACCCAAAAACCTCTCAAGTTATGGATAATTGCAAAAAGTCTTGTTTTCATGACTTTTATAAAGAAAGTAAGTATTTAATATGCATTTCTACAAAAGTAAAAATGTAGATGTCATGGAATTTAAATATCATGAACGTATGCAAAACCGGAATCAAATCCGAGCACAAAAAATGAGGTTATGCAAGTAAAAGTGAAAAACGAGACGAGAACGAAATAAGGAAAAGACGAAAAATGAATAGTGTCAAAAAACAAAAAAATGTGGAAATGACTCGGTCCTCAAAGGAAGTTGTCAATTCAAAGGAAAGAGTCTCAGAAACCATTTCCGAGCACTCGAGACGACACTAAGAGGCGGGAAATCGAACCCGAAAAGGAAAAGATAATGAAAAAAAAATTTATCCGCAAAATTTGAAGAAAAAGGGAAAAGGAAGAAAATGACCGGGTCATTACAGATATAGTGCAAAAAAGTCCATGTGTTGTATAAAACACCCATCTATTTTTAATTTGGTGCAAATACCCCAGTGTCTACATAAAAAGACTATAATACCCTCTTGGTAGTAAAATAAAATAATATTTTAAAAATAAATCAAGGTAAAATTACCATTTTAGACAAGGACACGTGTCTTTCAACCCTGATTAGTTAGGTGGCCCAATTGGGAAATAACATGGGTACAAAATTTCTTTATAATATTAAAAAAATAAAAAGGGTTAAGGGTTACGAGGACAACAGTGAGGGGTTGTAGAGGAAGAGGCGACGATGGTGAAAATGGTTAAGGGTTATGCGCAATCAGCGAACGGTGAAAAAGGTTAAAGGTTACGAGCGACCAGTGAATCAATTGTTCATATTTGGTTTTGTCGTCCACTAGCGGTGCAATCATCGTCAAAGATGCTAGGTTAGACTATGAGTATCCACCATCGGTACAATCGAGAACCAAGGATGACGCAGTCGTCTCACCATCGTATCCATATCATCTCCAACCAACTATCTGGTTAACACCCACCTCGCATCGTCTCCATACTTCTTTACCACAACGAATCAAAAGTCATTGTCGTCGACAGTCTTTGCGTCCTCAGTTTCTCCTCACCGTCATTCCTTCACCCTTGCTAGAATTTACTCTCTTCCATTAACCTCTCGTCGTCGTCCTACAATTCTATCACGCCATAATCAGAAAATTAGATCTCATAAGTGAAGTGGCATTGTGAGATGACACATTGAGTCAACTCAACATATCGGCGCCGAACTTTGGTTATGAAGATTTCACTGCCGGTTATGGGGTTGGGGATGGTGGTTATGGCGCCACTGGTGGTTGTGGGTTGGCGATGATGGTGGCTGTTAAGAGATGGGTGTTGTCGCCACCAGTGGAAGTGATGCCCGCTACCGTCGATTTTGGCTGTAGCTGTGTTGCGCCACTGGTTGTGGTGATGAGCGTAGGAGAGAAACAGAGTTTAAAAGGCAGAATAGGAAGAGAAAAGGGGCAAATTAGGGCTTTTAAATTTACTTTATGTCAATTTGACCGAAAAGTGGTCAGACGGTCTTATTTGTACTTTTTTGAATTTTATAAATTGAAATGCACATTTTTAAAAAGGATGGACTATTTATACACAAAACCTATATTAGAAGGGATTTTTCTACGCTTGACCGTACAAAAATTAATAAGATTTGACAAATTTAATAAAAAAGGGTAAAATAGTGTTTCGAATGAATTTGTCATTAATTGTAATAAATAAAAAATTTATAGGGGCAATTTATAGTTCAAAGAATTTATTTGCAAAAGAAGAATAGTTGAAAGAATTTTTTTTTCACTTTACTCAATCAAAAATTATTTTCATAAATTATAATAGATAGTTCTTTAAAAAGGTATTTTGCCAACTTAATTTTCAAATTTATTTTATTATTATTTTTAAAAAAAACTGAATTTCAATTTTCTGAAAAAAAAATTGAATTTCAATTTTCTAATTTTCAAAAATAGCAAAAGTCAGTTTTCTTATTTTCAATTATCCAAAACAGTTTGGAATTTGGATATACTCATATTTCACACACGTCAAAATTCGCAACTTTTCGTCAGTAGTTCGGAATCAAAACTTCGGATTAGGCAGAATCTTTCGCTCACTGCATAGCTATTAGTCCTATGGCTATGGCTGTTCTAGGCACTGGTTTCACCTTATCTTTTTCTTCTTCTCCACTTTCTCCTTCACATCATCGTTTCCTTCAACCCAAATTTCATTGCCAAAACCCTAGTTTTCGCGTCTCGTGCTCGGTACTATTTTTAATTTTTCTTCGAATTTCTATCAGCTGCTTGATTCAATCAGTTGCTTTATCAAACTTGCCTTTTTTTGTTTTGGTTTTCACCCTCAATTTCTTCAGATGAAAGACACAGAGACGGATTCGAGAGCTGAATACAAGCCTGGAATGTTGGATGACCTGTTCCTCAATTTGTTCCGAAACAAAATGGTCCAGGTGAGTCAATGTCGTTTATCTTCTGTCTCTATCATTACCTGGAGCTCTTGTTTCGTTTTTCATCTGTTTGGATACTGAGAAATTGCATATACGAAAATTTACGAAGCATGAATGCTGTTTGGTTTCTAACTTTCTATCATCACCTCTTGCTCTCCGGATGCGGATATTCCTTAAACATTGTTTTTATGTTAAACACCAATTCGGTGATTAAATATACCATACTGAATATATTGCATGAAAGGAAGATATTTTTTTTATTTAAATAATTAATTAATTTGTATAAAAAAAAGTGTACGTTTTTTTATTATAAATAGTAAAGTTTTAATAATAAGTTAATTATTTTATAAAATGGTAATTAAAATTTATTTATTTTTAAACATGTGTCTTACCATCCATATCCATATATGTTCCGTGATATCCCTCACTTCACAAACAAATCTTTCAAATCCCGATCCCCAAGATATAATTTCTAATTTTCACAAGTATGCATTTATTTCATTCCACGGAATAAGAAAATGGGAGGTGAGAGAAAATATGCTGATGTGACTGTGCAAAAGTGGTGTAAAATACACAATAATTTTATATTATATAGTGTTGGAGATTTACACATTGTAACGACCCACCTTATCACCCCTTTGGGTTCTCGTTGGCTACACTTTCGGCTTATTAATTGTTACAAATAGCATTTTTTTTTTAATCCCAATATTATTAATCAATAAATTGTCACTCTGATACCTTACAAGGGTTGACACAATTACACTAATTAATAAATTTAAAAAGTGATTCATTGATTTAATTTAAAATGTATGCTGTTATTACATTCCATAATGATTTCTCATCTGCTTTCTAAATGAAGATACCAAAGTAGAATGGCACACAAGCATCTCTCTCCAATTGTCCATGATTACATATTTGTGGAAGATAAAAGAGGGTGATCAGAAAGGTAGTTCACCACTGTCTAAAATGACTACCTTTCTTCTAGGCGCCGCACTCTATATCTCCTTTCAGCTTCAATATTGTAGATGAAATATATCCATGCAGCACACTGCCGAAAACAACATGACGCCCATCCAACCTTTAAAGAAGAAACAATTAAGAGGGATATGAGTTTGAAATATCACGGACCTCAAATCATAGGCTTAAAGCAGAGCCAATGCACGGTATAGGAGGCAACAGACTTGTTTATCCCAAAAATACAAATAATACGCATACATTGTAGATTAAATTAAGTAAATCACTATTTAAATGTATTAATCAGTGTAATTGTGTTAGCTTTATAAGGGGTATCAAAGTGAAAATTTAGTGGTTAAAAATAAGGGAACAAAATCAAATGAAAAATGGAAATATGTCAAAATTTGCAGATAACCCCCTTGCGCTATCAATATATATATATATTTTATCATTCTACACCCCATGGGGGTAAAACTTTCATTAATTGAAAAATTCGTCAGTTTTTTAACGGCTCTTTGTGACAACTGGGGATAAGTTGCAACCCTTATACGTAGTACAAGGGTGTTTGCTGCGTTTAAAGTTAGTGCAGGGGGGTGCAATGCCAAAAAATGAATAGTACAAGGTTTATCTGCAATTTACCCTTTTTCCTGCATTATCTTATAATTTATTAACATTTGATTCTTTCAAGAGGGTGTATATTAACAGGAAGTTGGGTGGGACTCGGAGAAGCCTGGTTACAATGGACTAATTGAAGTCGCAAACCATCTCATGACTGGTAGAAGCAATTCTGAAACTAAAGAAGCAGCGGTATCAAAATCAAAAATTTTTTTTCCTTTTTTTATATTGTGATTGTGAATCCCATTCTTTCTTGTAGCTCCCTATAGATTAATTGCAATATGGTCCTGCCATCACCATTTATTGTTTTGGCCTAGGGCAGGTCCGGATATTAAAATCATTGTTTCCTCCGTTTTTATTGGAGCTCTACCGAATCCTTATAACACCTATAGGAGGAGGGAAAGTGTCTGCCATGATGGTTGGTCAGTTCACTATTCCTTCAGTGTTCTTGGGGGCTGTTTTTATGTTCGGTTTTGATTCCAAAGATAGTGCATGTGTTTACTTTGGTTATTTTTGTTCAATTATATTACTTTTTGTTCCAAAGTTTGCATGAATCCCTTAAACGTTCTCGTTTTTGTAGCAAGGGTGACTGCATTATCTTGTCAATGGCTCATGGGCCCATGCACAGTTAACTCAGTAGATCTTCCCGACGGATCCTCGTGCAAAACTGGGGTAATGAGGACTTTCTAAAGTTGCAATCTGATTTGTGTGACACACTATCTTCTGGAATCCATTGATATGATTTGGCAATCTTAATTCACATTCATGGGTATGGGCCATTCATGTAGGTGTTTGTAGAAAGATGCAAGTACTTGGAGGAAAGCAAATGTGTAGGAATTTGTATCAACACATGTAAGCTTCCCACGCAGGTCAGTGATAGTGAAACATTTATAGAATTCCATACGTGCATCTATTCCTTGTTAGTAGTTTCTTGCCTTGATAGCTGCAATATTTGTCAAATTTATAGTTTTCAATTTGAATATTACAAAAGTCAGAACAAAGAACTGATTGTAAATATAAGCTATTGTGCTTTTTTGCTATCATGAATCGCACTTTTAATTTTGGGTTAATTTCACTGACATCCCTTTAGGTTTGGCCAAATATCACTTTCCGATATCTTTCGAAAATAACTATCACTCATATTACAAACTTTTGCTCCTTTTTTCACTCACACCCCAACCGTTACTTGCACAGTTCTGACACAATGTAAAATAACTTAAATATCCTTTGACCTTGTCAAAACAACTCTTTAACTTAAATAATTAGATAAAAAGACTAAAATATCCCTATGTATTTTATAAATTTACAAATCATATTATATATCTTTATTGTTTCTTATGTTATATTTATATATATTATGTTATATATATTATATTATATATATATATATATATATTATGTTATATATATATGTTATCTTTTTGCCGGATCCGTGTATTGGCGGGTATGCGGGTGGTAGTGATAGGTGGGTTTAATAATGAGGGTAAAAAATTAGGTCATTTAAGGAACTTGGTATTTAGGAATACATGGGATTAAAAAATTAGGGACAAAGTTGTTTTTTTACTTTTTTATTTTTTTTTAACGGAGACTGTGGCGGAAAAGTAAAAATGAACCTAAGTGATAGTTATTTTCAAAAGATGTTTGAGGGTGATATTTGACCAAACCTAAACCTAAAGGGGCGTCAATCAAATTAACCCTTTAATTTTTATGGGCTTCGACCACTTACAATATATAAACATGCAAACTCTTCATTCAGTTGCTACAAGAGCATGCATATACATTTTAAGTCTTAGTAGGCTCCATTTTTTTGGGTTAAAAAATGTGATAGAGAGAGTTTTATACACGTCAATATTTTGCTAAAATGATTGCTGAAGGACATATATAAAAAATAGTCCTAAACCGTGCTAAGTAGAAATAGTTATACCCGTCGCCATTTTTAAACAAATATTTCACTAAGAAGATTGCTGAATGAACATATTTGAGAAATAGTTGTAAACTGTGCTGGGTAGGAATAATTATTAAACAAAATAGTATTAAATAATTATAGGAAGAGGGACAGAGGAAAAGCAAATTACGTTGGGAAACATATGACATCTATTTTATGCAGTAGAACTGAAGTGGATTCAAAGATATTTAGTCAAAGAAACTGTTAATACTTGCAAAATACTGTAAATCATTTTCACTATGCTTGTATTATGCAGTACTAAAGGAAACTTATTTTGAAGTTGGCTTGTCTTGGTTAACAAAATTTTTAATAAAATAATAAGAAGTAAGAGGATGTCTGATGAGTGGTGCAAAAGTATTCTAATGCCTATATATAAAAATAAAGGGGATGTACACAGTCGTAATAATTATCGTGTATTAAATTTATTAGTCAATTGAACAATGCTTAAGATGAGAGACTGAAGTTTTGGGGAATCAATTTGGATATGTCGGGAAGGTCAATGATGGAGGTTATTTACTTATTGAGGAGACTAATGGAAAGATATAGAGAAGAGAGATCTCCATATGGTTTTTATTGATTTGCAGAAAACCCATGATAGGGTACCTAGAGATCTAATATGGAGTGGTTTAGAAAAGAAAGGAGTCAGAAAGGGATAAATTGACACAATAAAAGACATGTATGATGGTTTTTGTGATTAGTTAGAATACATGTAGGGAAAATATGTGAATTCTCAATTATTGTAGGCTTACATTATGGGTCCACAATTTGCCTTGGTTCTGGATGAGTTGACAAGCCATATCCATTCCATGATGAGATTCCATGGTGTATTTAACTTGTTGATGATGTTGTGTTAGTCGATGAGACTAGAGAATGAGTTAATGCTAAATTGGAGGCTTGAAGAGAAACTTTAGAATAAAAGGCTTTAAGAAAAGTAGAAATAAAAATGATTACATGGAGTGTAACTTTAGTAAATCTAGAAATATAAATGAGGAGTAGTGAGGATTGAGAATCAAGCGATACAAAAAGTGAACATTTTCATTATTTAGACTCAATTATTCATAATGAAGGGGAGGTTGGAGATGACGTTAATCATAGAAGCAAGGCAGGATGGGGTAAATAGAGGAGTGCATCTAGTATATTGTGTAATAGGCGTGTCCCTTTAAGATTGAATGAGAAGTTCTATCAACAATTATTAGACCAGGCATATTTTATGGAACAAATGGAAACGACATATGGATAAGGTGTGTGTGGCGGAAATGTGAAGGTTGAGATGGATGTGTAGCAAGACTAGAAAGGATGGAATTAGAAATGATCACCTTCACGAGATGGTTGGACTAGTACAAATTGGAGATAAAATTAGCGAAAATCAATTAAGATGGTTCACACATGTGCAAAGAAAGACTTTAAGCGTGCCGGTTAGAAAAAGTGACGTAGTCCACATTCAGGGTAATGTTAGGGGAAGAGGAAGACCAAAGATAATGTGGGTAAAGTTAGTAAGGAAGGATATGATAGCATGTGGTTTGACTAAGTGGGATGGAAACATATGATTCATGTAGACGACCCCAAGTAGTTGGGAAAAGGCTTGGTTGTTGTTGTATTGTTACCGTTATATAATAATTAGAAAAGATTGTAATCTAGTAAAATCAATAGTAAATATTATTTATAGTAGACACTTGATTTATAGTAAAATCAAGTTGAAGTTTGCTGTGAAGAAAGCATGGCATTTATAATAAAAGTGGACTAGTCCAGTGGGGTAAGATTTTGACTTTGGACAATCTGAGAAAGAGAGGATCAGAGGACTAATAACAGTGAACTGAACTGGTGTTGTTTGTGTAAAAGGGATGAAGAGTCCGTGGATCACTTTCTTTTGCATTTCCTCGTGTTGGAGCCTTATTTTTTGTTTGTTCGAAGTTCAATGGGTTATGCCTCGGTCTTCGAGGGACTTTATTGATGCTTGGAGAGGCTGCAATGTGGGAGGCCATGCCCATGACTTTTGGAGGGTGACTCCCCTTTGTGTTTGGTGGTGTATTTTGAGGGATTGGAATAGAAGATCTTTTGATGGGGAGGAATATTCCGTTGGGACTTTGAAATTTCTTATTATTAGTTCTCTTTTTAGTTAGGTGATGGGGAAAAATTGTATATTTATGAGAAAATTGTTGATTTTTTGGGTTCCTTGGGTCCTTAGGACATTTTCCTTGGCTTCGGTCCTTGTATAGTCTTCGGGATGCGTTCCCCTTTTGAACGCTTTCTAATATATTTTTACTTATAAAAAAAAGGGTTAATTACACTCACACCCCCTGAGGTTTACCCATTTGACAGTCACATGAAAGTTACCCTATTTTTGAACAATGACACCCCCTATAAGAAATGAGATCCAAACAGCCCCTAAAATGATGTGAAAAGTTGAGATTGCCCTTCATTATTTTATTTAATTTTAATAAAAAAATATCGGAATGATGAAATGACTAAATGCCCATTAATATTATTAAATATTCTCTCTCCTCTCCTCTGTTATGTGTTCTCCCTTTCATCTCAACCTACGAACACCATCGCCCCCAACAACGACGGCCACCAATCCCTACCACGACCACGACCACGACCATGCTAAAATAGGCCGATACCCAAACTTGGCCCATCCAAAACCTTAATTGCCCTCTCCGATACCGGAATTGCCTCCTCAAACCTCCCCAAACTCCAGTAAATCGCCACCACTACGAATGATTTCGAAGCTTAGAGCGAGTGGTCCAACAACTTGCTCCGGTCATCAACGGACGCGGCGTTAACTAGCTTCTCCATCAACCTCTTCTAGATGGAGCTCCGATTAAAATATGATGAATAAGCAAATACAGAAAGCTAGAGAGGTTGGCACATTCGACCAACCAATTGAGAGATTGGATTAATTACGCCCCTAGAGATAATACAGGTTCCTGTTATTCTCCAAATGGGTTTGTTAACACACATATCAATTGGACTTCTGCAACTAAAGTATAAAAATTCAACATTAGGCTAAACCCACAATGGAAAGAGAGAGAGAGAGAGAGAGAGAAAAAAAAAAAAAAAAATCAGAATACATAAAATTTCACCAATTTCTTGAATCAGTTGAAATTCATCATCACAGAAAATTACCTAGACTGAGCTCTGTGTGTGTCTATATGTAATATGTGTTCATGCTTTTGTTACTGATTTTTCTAGTGTATAGATTTGGGTTAAGTGATTCCTACCCAAATGGGTTGTATCTTAGTGAGTGAAAGTAGGTGTATAGAGAGAGAAAGAGGGGGTGGATTGGATTAGAAATTGGTATGGCTTGTTATTGAAAACCTACTCATTGGGTAAGAGATATCATCATTTGTAGTCTCACAATAAAAAACCTATAACGTAATTCAACCCTACTTTCCCATTAACCTTTCCTAGTAAATGGGGAGTTTATCTGTTTGCTTATGGGTGATGGTGAGGTTGATGGTGGTGGTCGCCGTATGTGTATTTAAGAAGACAGTGTGTGCATATTGGGTTAGTTTTGGCCATTAAAATAATTTTTAAAATAAGGTTAAAATGGTACTTTCATTATAGAAATTAGTCAATCCACAAGTCAAAGGGTATTAAACTCAATTTACCTTGTGTCAGAGATGGTTGGGGTATCATTGTTAACTTTACCAAACCTAAAGGGGTGTAATTGTTCCAAAATAGGCTAACTTCCATATGACTGTCGATAGGGCAAACCTCAGGGGGTGTGAATGTAATTAACCCTAAAAAAAATTATTCTGTTAAGGAGTGATTTAAGTGCTCAAATCACTAATGATATTCTCCAAATATAACATCTTCTAACCTTCCCCTCAAGCTAGAGCGTGTATGGAAATAACACCCAACTTGCATATCAAATCATGAAACATATCGTTTTTCTAATGATTTGGAAAAAAAAATAAGCTGAAGGCAAAGAATAATGCTACCGAACACACCGACTTCCTAAATAAGTCACAAATAGTACCGAGAGACCTTTGGCACCTTTCAGATGTATAGGGAATACCCTAAAATAGCGGTCCGAACCTCTGAAGTGATCCTTTTTACATTGTCGCACACACCAGGCAACTACCATAGGGTTTTTCTGTACCTAGGCAGTCGCAAGAGAGAAAAAAATAACTTAATTCAATGCTTAATTCATTCAGAATTAAGCGGTGATCCAATTAAATGTGTATGATAACGCAATATGAATAATACTGAAATCGGTAAGTGCCACTTAAAATGGGGTAAAATTTTAAGTAATAGGATATCACTTGTCACTGAATGTTGAACGCTAACCACTTAAAAACTTCAGCCCTTAAAATTCAGCTCTTAAAATTTTCAATACTTAATTTTTAGTTTTATCAAACAATACCTTTGATACCGTGTTGTAAATAATAAAGTATAAGTGAAGACATAAATGAAACAAGAACACAAAGATATTACGTGGTTCAGCCACTAGGGCCTACATCCACTGCACAAAGAGTCCAAAGGGCTACATCATTGTTACAATATTCTCTCTTAATCTTTGTATACAGTGATTACCTCTATTTATAGGTGAAAGAATACAAACATGTTATAAATATCGTTGAAAGATATAAAAGTTTAAGGGAGAAATTAAACATGAAGAACAGAACACACAAAGCCCAAAGGGCTACATCATGTTTGTTTTATTCTCTCTAATATTGGTTACCATTAGCACCTCTATTTATAGGTAAAAGAATACAAGTGATAAATTTGGAAAGTACATTGATGGAGGATTCCTAAAATATATCTCATAAATCACTCCAATTAGTATTCTATCATAGGATAAAATCAGTCCTATGATATTCTCCAACACCCCCTCTCAAGTTGGTACATGGAGATTTTAACTCAAGTGTCCAACTTGAAACTAAATACGAAGTTGTCGAGAGTTCGAGACGAGTTGATCCAAAGACTTGAGACAAATGATCCGAGAGGAGTAGAGTATAGAGTAGGGTATGGTAAACCTACTCTGATACCTTGAAAGATATAAAAATTGAAGAGAGAAATTAAACATGAAAAACACAACACACAAAGCCCAAAGGGCTACATCACTTCATTATATTCTCTCTTAATATTGTTTACAATCAGTACCTCTATTTGTAGGTGAAATAATACAAGTGATAAATATGGAAAATACATTGATGGGGGATTCCTAAAACCTATCCCATAAATCACTCCAACCAATATTCTATCATAGGCTAAAATCATTCCTATGATATTCTCCAACAAATATGTTATAGGAAAGATTCCTAAAATCACTTCCATGATTCATTGATATCAATATTCTTTCCATGAGTGATTTAAGAACTTAAATCACTCTTATAATAATATTCTCCAAACATAACCTCTTCCAACAGAAGCAGACAACTTTTGTTTTTCTTTTCTTTTAACAAAAAAGAATACATTTGCATTTAATGTGATTAACCGGTTGTTGGTTTTTCAGCCATTTGGAAAACCAGAACTGTGAGCAGTTTACATAGTGACCATACGATGATGACATTCGATGGACAAAATTTTTATTTCGTGCAAGTTGCTCCTTCCACGTGAGGGAGCAACTGAATATTATTATTATTATTATTATTATTATATATATATATATATTAGATTCTACTGGTAAAGAAATTGCCAGATTGCTGCTTTAAAATCCAATGCTATAAAGAAAATGGTACACGTCTCATTGGATAAATTTAGTTAGTGGTAGAAATGCTTATCTCATTCTACAGATGCTCCCATTCACGCAACTCCTTGAGGATACAATAGTTGGTTTTTGCCGTAGTTGTTAAAATCCTGATCCCAAATTGCCGAACCGATCCCAATCCCGATCCCATCTAAAATCGCTGGGAAGTAGAATGTTAGTATGATCTCTAGAATTTGAAATAGGATCGTAGAATTTCAGAGGATCGCGCGGTCCTACCGATTCTACTAAATCGTGTTATTTAGTTCTTCCAAATTTATTTGGGCCTCCAATTCATTTTGGGCAAATAAATTTGATCATTTAATATAAAGTCCAAATTTTAAGCCTAATGACATGAAAAAATTAAAAACAAAAACAAAAATCAAAGACCCAACATCAAATGTAGAGACGATCCAACTATGAAATTCAAAGGTTTGGTGTTGAAGGATATAAATATTAAAGTTACACACACTCTAATAGCTTAAGCTTTTGGAATAGATGGTTGTTAATATGGTATCAGAGCCAAAAGTTTCGAGTTCAAACTTTACCGTCACCCTAATTAAAAAATTGAAAAGCACGTGTTGGACCAAAAGAAGGCCACACATGAGGGGGTGTGTTGAATGATATAAATATTAAAGTTACACCATCTCTAACAGTTTAAGTTTTTGGAGTAAATATGGTTTAAAACTTCAAAATTTTCATCTATTTTGTTTTATTCTTCTTAATTTCTCTTTTCTTCTTTCTTTTTCTATTTTTCCACATATTCTTTCTCCATTATGAAACAAAAACAAAGAGCGACTTTCTTTCTATCTTTGTTTTTTTCTTCTCTTTTTTAACCAAAAAGTAAACTTTTCAACTAAATTGCTCAGACATTTAGGCAACTAAATTGTACTTTTCCCTCTACTTCTCCGTCACTTTTTCTATTTGTTTAGTCTTTACTTGAATTTCTTTGGGGAGATTTTGCTTGATTGTAATGTTGATTTTTTTTTTTTTTTTTGTTGTTGTTGTTGTTGTTGTTGAAATCAAAAAATTGATTGCAAGTGTTTGTGACGTGTGTCTTGGTATATTTTAATGTTTATTGGTTTTGCTAGAGCGTCTCATTTGGTTATTTAGTCTTATTCTCTACTTATATTGAAAATATTTGATTTAGAAAGCTAGTTTGAGTTACTTTTCTAATAGCTCTATAGAATCTCACGATTCTCGATCTGATCCTACAATTCCGATCCTATGGACCCTTGATCGATCCAACATAGAATCCTTATCCTAACAACCTTGTTTTTCGCTTTTTTATTGCTAGAAGTTTGCAGTGTAGCTAGGATTGGATTATTGAATGCTCCATCCGTCCCAAAAAAAAAGTGTGCACCTTTCCATTTTTAGCTATCCCAAAATAGGTGTCCCATTTGAAAAGTTAATGTACTATTTTTTGTAGCATTACCATTTTAATCTTATTGCATTGAATTTATAAAAAGTAAACTATCACATCATGGACCCACTATGGGTAAAATTGATAATTCATTCACTATCAATACAATAAAAGAACACTAAAAGTCATCCTCTTAAAAGGTTAGATTTCCAAAAAAGGACACTTTTTTTGGGATAGAGGGAGTAGCTGTTTACAAAGTTCTAACACTGTAATTATGAATAAATTAATAGAAATTTTTGGAGCTTTTTACTTGTATCTGTACATCATATTTGAGTACTATATATACATTTGATATTCTTCTTATTTACAGACTTTCTTCAAGGATTACATGGGAGTTCCTTTATTGATGGAGCCGAACTTCAGTGATTATAGCTGTCAGGTACTACTACTTTGTTTAAAAATATGTTAAAATATTCTTGGCTGTGAAGGAAATTGCAGCTGATAGTTAACATAATACTTAATCAACTCTCTTACTCCTGCTCAAAGATACAATCTGTATCACTACCTTGCTCTCACTGGTTGGGCAAAAAAAATTATTGCCATTAATACCAGGAGCATAACTACCTCAAGCTTGCCTTTCATTTGTAATAACACTGCCACCTTCACCATCACCTTCACAATACCACCAGTTTCATCACCACTTCCACTCCAAATTATGTTTCTGTCAGTTTCATTGGATACAATGTACCCATTCAATAAATTTATGATACCAGGAGTTTTTTTGGCCATGGGCTGAGCCTTAATTTCTTTTTGGGTTTATTTTGCCATGGACTGAGCCTTTTATACAAGTTACTTAATGAAAAAGAAAGGATTTACTCATTCATTCTATAATTGCTTGCTGGAAGTGCAATTCAACAGATTACAAATAATTGAAATTCAGACTTGCCAAGTAATCCTGATTCCTCCTGTCCATATCTAGTTTGTCCAAGACTCAAATCATAATAACAAAATCTATCAATTTATCTGCTCAATGTTTATATGGAATTGTCAAGCAGAATTATGAAAAAAAGGGAAGTTGTCACTTTACCAATTACCTTGGCGACGATGTGTACACATCGGTTGCTTTAGTAACTGCCCATATATACACATATGCCCGTTCTCTTGTTCCCTGGCATGGATAGCCCGTTATATGTGACTGAAAAGGAGGCCATTGCCTCATCAAATGGCTGATAAAGAACCCACTTTGCCTCTTTATCTGGTTTTCAAAAAACTGAAATCCACCCACCAATTCTATCTCTCTCAAACTCAAAAAGGTGAAAACTACCATTATTTATCCTCTTTCTGTTTTGTCTCTCTTCCTTAAGTATGGATCTTGTTGAAGAGTCGACATCGTCCTCATGTGATCTAAAACAGCACCGCTTAGCTAGGATTGACACTGTTGTGGTGCCTACCATTAACCCTCCGATGATAAAGTCAGTGATCGGAGTAATTAAAGCAGAGAGATTTTTGGTATTAATTGCCCGTACGTCATTGGTGGATATAAATATGCATTTATAGCTGGGAAGGCATTGAATTTGTTGTAACTTTCCAGAAGATTTTTCGGAAACTCAAATTTCAATTTTACTTATCCTCGTACCATCAAACCTCTTTTGAATTTAAAGTTGTTGACCGCATTCCAACTTTCTTATGTTATCTTATTTGATCTTATCATGTTGTTGACTTGTTGACCATCTGTTGAGCTTTTCCCTCTATCAGTTGCCCCCCGTTCACATATTGTAGCTTGCTTTAGGTTGGGAACGTGAATCAAGTGGCATCACGCTCGCTTTTATTGAATTAGAAAGATATATATGAGCAAACACTAAGCATAACTCATCTTCGGTTGGCACGGACTGTCTACCTAACTACTCTAATATACGGTGCAGTACAACCCGTCTTCCCTAAGCATAAATTATCAAATTATTCATTCATATATTGGCTAAGCACCATTGCATGATCACTACTCCTATAATCACAGAAAATAAAAGAAGTTTGAATTCGATTAAAGCAAAATCAATTCTAAGACAAGATAGAGATCTTATTAAAACCAATTATAATCATTAAATCCCAATTGCTTAGTACAACTAAGTCAATTGATCTTAACCATGCAATCAATATACATAATTCAGAAAAGATCCCAAAAAATAGGATCAATTAAACCATGTTAATTAGCTAGGGCTACATCAATGCCCTAAGAAGGAATTTAGCTACTCATGCAGAAGGAAGAAATCTTCAATCATGTGCTGAACGCCATCTCCATGGACTGTTATTTCTGATCGGAACCACCTTATTCAACCTTCAACAACGGAGAGAAGCCTTTACCCGCCAATCTCTCTCTGTCTAGAACTTGTCTAACCTCCTAGCCTCCCCTTTTGTGGTAATCATACCCTGAATAAGCTCTAGAACGGGCCCTGAATGTGAACCATAAGCTTTTGATAAAGTCCGGCCCGTATATGGTAAGAAGAGAGTAAAACATGCAAATCCCGTAACTATTAGGATTTTAATTTTGAGATGTACCTAGAATCAATCTTAGGTGAGCTGTGATAAATCCTAAGTGCCGCCACGATCGATCGTACCAAGGCCACAAGCGATTGTAACCTTGGCATTTGGCAAAGTTATTAAATTTGTTAGAGTGTTTAGGATCGATCCTAGAGGAGCTGAGATTGATCCTAGCTTCATGGATTTCATTTATTCATCGTTCTGAGCCTGGAATCGTCCCCGGACATGTCAGTGCTCCTCCCGATCCTTGGAAACACCATAAAGGCTTGAAATAGGCAAAATTGACCAGTTTGACGATGAACACTTGAAAATAACCAAAACCAAGTAATTATCATAATTCTCAATACTTGAGCATTACTAAAGCACTAAGATATGCAACTTTTAGGGCTTAAATGTGCAAGATTCAGCACTCATCACACCCCCAAACTTACATATTACTAGTCCCTTAGCAATACAAAGCTTGAAAACAGAAAAGAAACAACTATACTAACTACTCATTTGTGGAAGAAACGATTGCATGCAATAAGCCTTTAAACCCCTAGTGGACGAGTTATAGTCTCTTGAGGGTTTTAGAGATGTTTGTGCAAAATTTTGCATATAGCTCTTTTATCACATGTGAAACATCAAAGAATATCCCAAATATCATTATGAAGAAAATTACAAGAAGTATGTAGAGAAATGCTTATCCAACGACAACTTACGATAGCCCAATATCATGCTCAACATTAATAGTCCCCACTCAAAGCTCAAATCAACAAATCAAATAATAATCAACTCTATAGCATCCTTTAAAAGTGAACCATTATCCATCTATGTGACTTACTTTCCATTCTCACATACATTACATAACATCCATCAACTCATTAGCAATCTTTTTCAAAATTTAACTCCCAGGCACAAGGAATGTATAACAATTGTATGCATATTTTTTTCATTTCTTTTTCATTGATTTTTTATTGCAAGAGTATTGTGCAACGTCTAGATCCATTAAGCTCTCTAGAAGACCCCATGTAACAAGATTTCAGTCAATGACTCCCAAACTAGACGGCTTTAGGGCACTACGTGTAAAGACACCCCAAATGACTTAATAACTTGAGTCAACTAGGCTAAAAATTAATAATAATAAAAACTTGACTTCTTTTGATCATACTAAGCATTCCACTTTTTGACGTGAGCCCTCAATGCTTATTGAGGCAAAAGTCCTAGTTAGTGAAAAGGGCAACCTATTTTGCATGCATGATCATTATTATGCCAAAGTTGTCAAAAATTCAAAGTTCACTAACTCGTATCAGTCAATTACATAATGTAAAGAGATGTCAAATTTATACACATAGAACGGATGCAAGTGTGCTCATGTGCATAGTGAAGTCATCTAGAAGTCAAAAATTATAAGAAAGTCAACATGATCAATGATGTGGACCACTAAATGCAAAACACGATGTCAGATATTTTTCAATTTATCCCAGAATAGCAACTAATCCAGATAAAAGATGTAATAATCAATCGAAAAACCAATATGGGATATCAATGTTTTTCACAAAATAAAAAATCATCGCTAATCATGCTTAATTAATTTCAACTCAATCTCATATACTCTAAGTACCTTACCCTCGAACTTGAACATCGTAGTGTCCTTAATGTGCAATGAGAACAAAAAGAAGAGAGTGTGATAGAACAATATTACCATGACACAATAGAGGATCATAGAAAGCAAGACGGACAAGAAATGGAATAAGAGTAAGCAAAGTAGCACACCCCCAAACTTGAATCCAAAAACCTGTCAAAGAAGTTGATGCAGTACATGAACGAACAGGCATGAAGACTGCATGAACAATGCTCAGGAATATTGTTTTCTAGTTTCTATTTTTTGTTTTAGGAAAATTTTTATTGTTTTAATTTTCTAACTAGTTTTGTGTTTGTTTTAGGAAAGTTTCCATTGATTTAATTTCCTATATAGTTTAGGATTTACTTAGGCCTATAAATACATGCTATTGTAATAGTTTAGGGGATCAATTATCTCTTTTATTAATATCAGAAAGAAAATTGAGAGATTTTCTCAATCTCCTCGTGGATTTGAGTGTTTAAAGAATATGTTGCTATTCTTAATTATTTTGCTTGCTTTCATTGATCTGATGCGTCAAGTTGGTATCAGAGCCATTCTACATGGATGGTGATCAGGGAGAACATGCGGTGATTGTGGGAGAATGTCAACAATTTTGTCAGGAACTTAAGCAAGAGATTTAGACGGTGGTTGAACGTCTAACTGAAGCCATGAATCTTGTGCAGGTTCATAATAGGCATGATCAGGACTAACCTAATGATGTGAATCAGCTACGACAAAGGGTTGGAAATCAATATGGTCCTCTTCAGCATGCTAATAATCAGTGCCAGTTTCAACAAGACGTCTAGTCTAATTCGAGCGATGATCAGATTGAAGATATTGTTCTAGCACATGGAGATCATAAGGTCGAAGCAAGTCATCGAGGATTTAGGATGAAAATTGACCTTCTGTCTCTTAATGGTCAACTTGATATTGAAGATGTCTTGGACTGGCTTGAAGAAGTTGAAGATCTTTTCAAGAATTTTGAGATACCCTAGAACAAGAATGTTCCGCATGTAGCCTTTAAATTTAAAGGATGTGCTTTATCTTGGTGGAACAAACACATATTAACCGGAGGAGGCAAGGAAAACAACTTTTGTGGTCGTGGTACAAGATGAAACAGCTATTGATGGCTAATTTGTTACCACCAAATTATGAGCACATGTTGTTCCAAAAATATCATAATTGTTGGAAAGAAAGTTCTGTCACAATGTCTATAAAGGAAATTTACAAGAAAAATAGTGACATAAGGGTAGATCAAAATAATTTTTTTTCAACAAGTGATGCTATGGAGATTGGTCAGA